AATCTCCGGGGCGTGGTTTGTTTTTCCCAGTAGGTGAGCCTTTGTCTCTAACTGCTTATTGTGATGCTGATTGGGCAGGTTGTCCCAGCACCCGTCGCTCCACGACTGGATATTTTATTTGTCTTGGTGGTGCCCCCGTCTCTTGGCGTACCAAGAAACAGTCAGTTGTAGCACGTTCTTCTGCAGAGGCAGAGTATCGCGCCATGGCTGTCACTTTGAGTGAGCTTATTTGGCTGCGGTGGCTTTTGGCTGAACTTGGTCACCCCTTGCGTGCTCCTACCCCTCTCTTTTGTGATAATCAAGCTGCTCTGCACATCACCGCTAATCCTGTTTTCCATGAACGCACCAAACATGTTGAAATGGACTGTTATTTTGTTCGGGAACGAGTTCTTGCTGGCGATATTCTTCCCTCCAAGATCGCAACGATCGAGCAACCTGCAGACATTTTCACTACAGGTTTGAGTGCTGATCGGTTTCAGGAACTTCTCGTCAAGCTCGGCATGCTTGATATCCACGCCTTCGCTTGAGGGGGAGTGTAGAAGTGTGTAGAAGTGTAGTAATGCACTACACGTCGTCGTTTGTAGCTGCTGTCCACAGCTGACTTGTTGTCCAAGTTATTGTTGAGTTTCCTTGTCTTAGTTGGAAACCCTTGGTCGTATTGTTCTAGGTTTGGCCGCCTAGTGTCCTATATAAGTGGCTTAGCTGCAGGTTCATTGTAAGCAGCAAGTCGGTCAGTTTATTACGTCAATAATAAATTGTCGTCAGTCGAGAGCTCGGTTGAGCTCTCCGTGGATTAGTCCTGTTCACACCGAACAGGGATACCACGTAAATCGCTGTGTTGTGTGTTCTTCCGCGTTTACGTTTTCTACATAGGCTATACGATGTGGTACTTAAATTGTCTCATAACACAAGTCTTAATTAGTAGTTTGCAGCGCGGTATTAACTCTTACAAGAGTAGGGTACGTGATGATCGAGTGTTTCGTATTGCGGTCGATTCGCTGATGCTTTTTTAACATGGAGATCACAAGGTGGACTTTTCGACGATATCAATCATAGTAGATGATGAAGAAAGGGCTCGGTAGGGTTGACTTGCTTATTAGCATTATTTATGCTTGTTATTAAAATGCCGTCTAATTCATTGCCGCAAGTACTTGGACTAATTAAGTAGGGGTTCATTGAGAGGTTATAAGTTAATAAAATGTCTGTCTTTATCAAGATACGTAGAGGAAACGGCTGTGCGTCTCTCCCTTTTACGCTTTCCTTTCAACATATATACATAAGCGTTGAAATCTTCAGTGTAGTTAGAAGGGTTTGTCGAATTTGGATGTTGCATATGATTGGCTGCAGTCCGCAGTTGGTTAATATTTCATCTACACATAATATAATACACCGAAGGGAAAAACGAGAGCCCCATTTCAAATTTCCTGCAACGAGAGTGAAAGTAGGAAGGATATTTTGGTCTTCACAGTTACTTTTTTTTATTCATTAAAAAGATACATACTGGGATTCGAACCATGACCATTTTAAAGGAAGGTAAGGATCATAACCAATCACACTAAATACATTTGTTGTATCCTTTTAAATTAAAAACATATAATAGCAGGGTGGAAAAAACTCTTCCCCCATTTCAAATTCCCTGCTCCAGGAGCGTTTGCAGGAAGGGTAGAATAGGGAGTGCCAATTTTTTTCTCTTTCCTCTGTGGAACGGGCCAACTTACCGTACACATGCGGATTTATACGGGTCCAGGAGTGTCAATTTTTGTCTTTATACCCTTTTATTTCTCCGTGGTGATAAAAGATATATGAAAATGCAAAAATAATACTCCTTTTTATTGTTAAAAATAAAAAATTTAACAATAAACTAATGCATGGTATCTAATGGGCTAACCGCTAACCATAGAATAAAAGAGTTGAATGGGCCTGACCTACATGGATTTGGCCATCAAGTAAAACAATTGAACATCATTGGTTTGTCATTCTAAAACAAGCTATTTTCTCTGGCATAATATATATTATGTTATTATTTTATATCTTAGTGGCTAAAATATAATGTATTTTAAAATTATTCAATGGTTCAACCTCGACCAACCCAATTAGTCCAATTTTTATCATTTCAAATATATATTTTATAATTATTTGACATCATAATGATCAAATTATAGTGTATTTTATAGGGAATCGTTTGGTATTTGTTAGTAAAAAAACTAATCATAAAGATCTATTTGGTTATTTTAAACATTAAAACGATCCTAAACATTTTCGGTTCCTTTTGAATTTCTATGGATTTATTCCCGAATAAGTGATGTGCAAATGGCGAATTGTAGTCGTCTCTTTTCTTTCACTATTTTTTATTTTCAAATAGAAAGTGTAAAAGTAAAGAATAATTAGAATTTGGCATGGGTCGGTCAAACAGGCTGAATTTCAAGTTTTGGCCCGTTTGTTTTATGCATTGCAAATTTTGTTAGCATGTTGATGGAAATGGCTTCGAAAAAAGACATATAAGTTGTACCTTTGCAGAAATGTCCTCAAATGTTTGAATGCTTTGTGAATCAGGTTCCGTGACTTTTGTGATGCTGTATGTGCTTGACGATTGCTCGATGTTGTAACTACTTAATTTGAGAGTAAATCTTTTGATTTTCCCTATGAGTTGTGATACCAGTTCTGGTGGTTGCAGCATGCCTGTAAAAGTTGTTCCACCGTGATGCTAAATACCTTTCTTTCCTTTTTAACAAATTGTGTAGTAGTGCTATGAAACAGACCACCCATGAACGCTACGCTTATTATGGTATGTTCTTACTTCCGGTGGTGAGAAATTGTGAATTGAGAATCATATTCGCCTACCGCACTGTGTCTGGCTGGTGGCTGCTTACTGTGCTCTCTAGAGTTATGAAACAGACTACCCATGAACGTTACCCTTAAGAGTTCATAACTTTGCGAAAAAACAGATTTAGGCAATCAAAGGTGGTGGATGTGTGATGATTTTTTATGGCTTAAATGTTTGTGAATTGAATATCTGATCTTTGTATGATTAGAGGGGATGTTTGCTTAATAGAATAATCCATTTTAATTCATGTTTATTTTTAACATGAACTTTAGTAACTCAAAACCTTCGAGACACATATCACCTACTGCATTTTATCATTTTGTCTGGGTGCTTGCTGTGTTGTCAAACTTCTTTGTTGTTGCTGCTGCATTTACACTAACAGGGGAGTTAATAACCCATGAATGTTTCTGTTTGACACAAACAAGAGGACTTACTTCTAAATCGTGCACTAAAGATGATTGGAGGAAACATCTCTGTTGCATTTGATATACTGGAGACCATAACAAAAGCAATGTATAACATCAAAACCAACCATCTGAACTATTAGCATTGTTGCTTTACTCTGTTTTCGTGGTTGAGTCTCCTTCAAAAAAATTAGTTTGATTTTAGAAAATTTTGCTTCTGCAGTCCTGTCTTGCCACCAACGCGTTCAGTAGATGGAGATGGCAGAGGCGAAGGCTATTTTTGTGTTGTTGTTGCTGGTTTAGGGATCGGTTTGTGAAGAAGAGGGAGAAGAGAGGGGGAAAGGGAAATGCAGGAGAGGGGGATAACTCTTTTCTCTGACAAAAATGGAGTGAAGAAAGAAATTATGATCAGTAAGGATATGGTTATCTTACATAACGGTCTCTATTCTGTTTGAATTGAGCTTAGGAGGCAATGATAAGGACGAGCTGCAACCAATTCATAGTGATAAGAGTGCTATGAACTGTGATCATGTCTTATTTCAAGTTAGAAGGTAGTTTCAGTATAAGGATTATTTAATTTGACAAGTTGTTTCGTCCATGATTCTTGGTAGTTTCAGTGCCATTCTAGCCATTGTTTAGTCTGCAATGTTTGAGAATTGATGTGCGAGTAATGACTTTCACTTAGCTTCAATTATTATGTGTGTATTTATTGGCATGTGATAGAATTCTCTTTTCCTTTTCTTTGAATTCAGTTTCATACTCTAATTGTATCATTTGTACATCGGCAAATCATGCTCGAGATGACAACTCGCTGATATGGCTGGTGCAAGGAATGAAGCCATCATTAGAATTCAGACCGACAACGGGGAGGGATGCCCAAGACTAATTCAATGATGATTGATGATGATATAATAAAAACTGCAGTCTGCATCAGCACCAATTTCTAGGCCTAAGTAAAGTTATTCAACCCAGAACTCTGCTTAGCGCTAAAAATTGCCCTCACCCAACCTTGATCCTGTGTGACCCACTTCTGAAGAGTCAAGATATATGACTAATCCTCTCCGTTCGCATTTTCTTATTGACTCTTTCTGACCCTTTAGGTTGGGGCGGGTCGGGAAGAATCGGATTAGTGGGTCGGTCCTAATCAAGTGGAATCCTAATCCCTTTACTCTCACTTGCTTTTTCTCCCATTCCACAAGTGGGTAACATACAGTAATCCGCCCAACGGGCCGGGTAATAAGCTAGTTTCTTCTTATTCTCAACAAATTCCAGTTATTATCAACTTGTTCAGGTCATACCGTCTATTCGACGCTCCTCACAAGTGATATTTTTTTATATAAAGATTGGTCCGAGGTCCTATACAAGCAAAGACGTCCAAAATGTAACGTTTTTTATCCGTTGTCCAACTTGTCGATTATTTTCGTTCCTGTATATGGAGAACATTAAGCCTTATTGCTCGAGCCCATTTATGTCTTCAAAAGGGCGAATGACAGGGGGGGAAAGATTGCAAGCAAGCCCAAGCCCAACATCCCCATGTCCATAATTAATGGGCTGTAACTCAGTTACACAGCTGGCTATTCTTATTGGTCAAAGTGGGGGAGATATTCACACACCAAACTGGAAGGGAAAATTACATACAAATATTACAGTCGTGAAGGAGAAGTTAATTTTTTTTACACAAGTAGTTGCACTAGAGAAGAACTATACACAAAAGAAGAGTTTTGTACATTTCTGAGTAGTTGGGCCAACCCATGTTTGGGCCTGGGCCTCAATTACGGACTCTCCGACATCGTAAGCCCAGAAGAGACCGCAATCCCAGCCAAATTCAGGCCCATCATCTTGCAATCCGGAACGGGAACCAAACTCCACTCCTTCCTTCCCACGTCATACTCCACCCACACCACGTCCCACAGCCCCTCGAAATTACACATTAGTACCCCATTTATCCTCCCTATCTCCCTCCGTCCCTCCACGCATCCTACCATCGCCTTGTACGGCTTCCTGATCACCTCCATGATTTTCACCGGAACTCCCGATAGGTACCTCCATTTTCTGTTATCGCCATCCAGCCCCCACAATTCCATGCTCTCCAACACCCGTACCCCTCCATCCCCGCCCTTGGATCTCACCACCATCGTGTACCCGTCGCCGTACACGTGTACCCGATCGATCGTCACGTTCCCCCAGCTGAATCCGACGGCTGATGTAGGTTGTTGGCCTCCCCCCTCCGCCGCATTGAATCTCGGCCGCAAGACCACCGGCTGCGGGTCCAACCCGTCACTTAACCGGACGGCCATCACGAGGTTCTCTTCCGGACCGTTGGATACGTTGAGGAAAATATGATCCGACCATTCTCCGCCACGTGCCTCTCTCGCTTCGACCGACCGCCACGTGTCGGTTTCAGAGGAGTAGAGGAAGAGGACCGGGCGGGAGTCGACGAGCTCCCCGAACATGAACCGGTATTTGTTCCGGTCCGACCGAGAGACGACCAATTTCATGCCGGACCGGCGCCACGACGAGGTGCCACGTGGGCCGAGCGGGCTGGGCGGGATCGTCCTCGCCGTCCGGGCGGCGAGGTCGACGGCGATTACTTCCTTCCGTGAATTGGAGGCGAAGAGGAAGAAGTTCCCGGCGGCGGTGAGGAAGTAGACGCTCTCCCCGCCGCCGGGTCGGATCGGGTCGCGGATCTCGACCCGGAACCAGGAGGAGGACCCGGAAGTGAAGCCCTGGAGGACGGCGTCGCGGTGCCAGCTGCGCTTCTTGTAGAGGAAGAGCCACGTGGCGGAGGAGGAGACGGCGTTGAATTCGCGGAGGAAGGCCGGGTCGGAGGCGATCCGGGAGACGGATCGGTTGAGGGATTTGACCCGGACGAGTTCGGGGAGGGCGAGGGAGAGGAGGATTTTCTCGATGAGCTCGGAGGGGAGGAGGGTGAATCCGACGGCGGAGGATGGGGAGGAGGTGGTGAAGCTCCGGCGGGTGTGGTGATCGGCGGTTGTTTCCATGATCATTGTTTGGGTTTCTTTCCGTGTTGGGTGGGTTTTGGGTGGCGTGGGGATTTATAGAGAGGAAGGTTTTGTCCGTTCTTTTTTCTTCTAATTGGTAGGAGAAAAGAGTCAAATTGAGTGAGTATGTCTTCTGAATCTTCCTAAGAGGTTTTCTTTGTTTTATTATTATTATTGAAAATGGACGCAAAGCACAAATTTAACCCATTATTGATTATTAGGGGAAAACAACAATTTTAACCCTTTATTTTATTTTTCTTAGAAAAGGGTGCAAAATATTATTAACTCAGAACAAAAATAGTTGTGAAGAACCGTAGTAATGATTGTGTCATAGACTCGTGTGACAATTAATAACGAGTATTAGGCTAAATTTATGAAACAAATAGAAATCAAAAGGTGGGGTTGCATAGATAAGCTCTTCAGAGTCAAATAGTCAACTCTCTATAAATATGAGAAATGAAACAAAAATTGATCATGATTAGTTGTATACTTGTATTGAGATGGCTCAAAGGACCAATACATAAAACAACAAAAAGTCGCAAAGAGCCTGTCAGCCCAATTCAAAGAATTTACCACCCCGGGTTGACATGAAACATGTTGACGTGACACTTTTAGTAAATCACGAGGCAAAGACTAATATAGAAAATGCGCCTCATTAGGTCTAGAAAGAGAGCAACCTTCGAAATCCTAACAATGAGCACATATGATTCATTATTTACTGAAAAACTGTGTGCACAAACAAAAAATCAAGCATGATTTTCTAGCAAAGGAAAGTAAGCAAGTGCGTTAAGTGCATGAAATCTCATTTCATTCTCCAATTAAGTTTTTCGATTGTTAAAATTTTGATAGACCAACTCTTTGCGGTGAGGGTTCTTGTCTGATGTTGGAGTACTGGTCCAACTCTTATGTTCTCCGCAAGAAAAAAGTTTCAACGTAGTATGGGAATATGACACAGTGCGAGCAAAATTCAAAGCCGAATATCGTTAAAATGTGGAAACAAACGATATGAAACAAGAAATGAAAAAGAATCTTTCATATGCCTTGCATTGTAATCAAACTCAGAACATTTTGGATGGTCATTGATATCATGATATGGGTTTTGGATTTCTCAGATTCTTAATGAAAGGACAAATTAGTAAAGTATGTTTAGGCGTAGGCGTGGGAGTTGATCGTCATAGTTAGGGAGGGGACGGTGGCCGGTAGGGTAGAGAGAAAGAGAGTGAGCTCAGGGATGGCTTCATCAATGATTATGCTTTAAGTATTGTTTTTTTTTTAAAAGGCATTCTAAGGGAATTATGTGGTGCAAAATTATGTAGCAATTTTAAAATGGTTGCAAAGAAGAAGAAATGGCCACGAATAGAGCACGCCTGCCTCCTCAGAAAAGACCATACACAAGCAGCCCGTTTTTGATTTATTGAGAGTAGGGACGCACGGACGACTCAGCGGATTGCGATTGGGATGTTCCACGCCATTTCTTTGTAGCTATTAGTAAATCGCTATCTAAAACAAAATGCTTCGAGTTGTTGGAATGAGTTCGACTCTTCATAAATTAGTAGTTTTTGATCGGAGAGTTTTTATGTTTCATTGAGTTGATTTATGTGAGGAAACGCGTATGATATTCATTTTTTTCCATCTCTCTCAACAAATCGAATGATTAGGATCAGTGGGTTCACCGCGCGTCCATCATCGGACTTTGAATGGAATGTTCCCACGCGACGTAATTTCCTTCGTCGAGAACTCGCGATGCCAAGCACCAACCCCGGGTGATCTGGGGGGATGGATGAAGAATGGACGAGACGAATCAGAAAGTTCAGAGAGCTAATCGTAACCGTTTAACGAAGGTCGACAAAAGGCAAGAGGCTGATCGACTCACCTTATCGCTGATTGGGATGTTCCACATCATTTCTTTGGGACCATAAAATTGTAGCTATTAGGAAATCTCTATCTAGAAATCCAAATGATTCGAGTTGTTGGGATGAATTGACTTTGTGCTCGAATCTTTATGATTCATAACGTCAACCATTGATTTATGTGAATGAATGATATAACATTCATTCTATGATCTCTTCCAATCAATTGAGTAATTGGGACAAATTGGTTCTTTCCATACTATCGAGACCTCTTACGGATTACGAGGTCATGTATTTGATTTTTTATAAACTCTAATATTAATGATAATAATTGATTTAGTGACAAGGTATGCTGAGACTCTTTCATTTGTAGGACGGTCGAATATGCAGGATACTTAGGGAATCTAGATATGCGTATATTTTATTAGGACCTAACCTAATGATAATGATACCAATTAAGAAAAAGTTAAGGAAGTTGGATAGGGTATTAGGGGCAAGTTGCAATGATGTGGGTGGAGTTGTTGTCCTCCCATGACTGGCTGCAAACATTAATGATTAAGACCACGAAAATTAAACTTTATTAAGCAAATCTTCAGTAAGAAGGGCTCCCTGCCTGCTAGCTTATCCACATTGACAACATTCCCAGGACATAGTTATTGTTGTTGCTGAGCTCCGGTATGGTGATCCGATATTTAAAATGTTTGTGAGAACGTGCTCACAGAGTTTCGTATTTGTGGAATTAAGGACGAACGGTTCACAATCATGGGATAAACTGGATTGAGAGTGAGCATTCCATCTTAAGAACGACCTTTTGTGATCTTTACCTCTAAAAGCAGAGGAAAAGTATGACCTTTGCTATTAACAAGAGCCAAGACTAAAGAGTTTCTATCTTCCTATCAAGAGACCCACAAAAGGGATTGGGGTGATGATTGCTCTCCACTTATGTGTTGGGGGACCTTGTCACTAATACAATTTTTCACTCTTATGAAACATATGTCCACATCGATCTAAGATTGTGTTGAATGTTGTCTGGCCTATGTTCCCTCAGCTCATTGATCTTCTTGCTATCCCTCTTCCCAAGCAGTTCCTTCTTGCTTACTTCTCTTGTGTCTATGTGTGTCACCTCTGGCTCCTCTATGTGGTGATCTGGTGGAGGAGTAATTGTACCTATACATTGGGCCGCTTAGAGCACAGTTAGGGTTGCAAAATGAGTCGAACTCGGCCTCAACTCGTTTGCTAAAATCTTGGTTCAAGTGTAGCTCGAGTTTAACTCACTAACAAGCTAATCAACTCTTCTCGACATCGGCTCAAGAGGTTGACTTCAACTCCATAACAAAACATTAACATAAATTTACAAACTAAATACCATAATAAATATATGTATGTAATGTATAATACATGTGATTAAATAAATTACGATGAAAAGAAGAACAATGCTCAAATTTTCATGACTAATTGATCACACGATTATAGTAGCTAATACTATACTGCCATTCTCCTTTTTCCACAACACAGAAGTACGTCAAATATGAATTGGGCTAGATTAGGCAAAAGTTTGTGAGCCATGCCTACTGGGCTCCAGCCCACAACAAATTGGGCTAGCTGCAACCTGCAAATGTTGGGGCCTCATTTTCTGTTTTATGGAAGATGCGTCATATCATATTCCACCTCAAATTTGGCAAAATTCAACCAAGATGGTTCTTTTCTTTTGGGGTTAATAGCATTTTCTACCCCTTTACTATCGCAAATTAACAAACGTACCCCTCTATTAAATTTTTGCTCAAACATATCCCTCTAATATTAAAACGTAACAAATATACCCTTCCGTCTAATTTTCTGTTAAATGGCTGTTAAATGGGTTGTAAAATGACTAAAATACCCCCTCAATTACCCCTAATTTATTTTAACAATTTTTTTTATCACACCCAATTAATTAAAACCTAACCCTAAGCCATCACCAACGAATGCAGCTCGATGCCAGCTGCGGCGGTGACGATGCTGCTGTTCCCAGTCAGGGCAAAGCGGCAGGGGTCAATCGCAACTCTCTCGCCTGCGCTCTTTTGCCTCCACAAACTCCACCCTTTTAGGCTACTGGACAAAACAAAAAAGACATGAGCTTTTTCTCTACCCACTTTCCACCCAGATTTGATTGAATTTTCGTAGGATTGGGATAATGAATTCAATACAATTGCATATATTGGTCATGTCGGAATCCCCCATGTCCGCCTGTCGTCGTCTCGCCTCTGCCTGCTACAATCGCCGGCGTTGAAGAGTCAGCCGTAACCGCCGCTGAGGGTGCGCTGGGGATTCTTCTCGGAGTCGGGGCAGACGAAAGGATGGGGCATGGCTTAGAGATGACGCTTAGGTAAGGTTTAATTAATTAGGTGTCATGTCAAAATGAATTAAGGGTAATTGAGGGTTATTTTAGTCATTTTACAATCCATTTAACAGCCATTTAACAGAAAATTAGACGGAAGGGTATATTCGTTACATTTTAATATTAGAGGGGTATGGTTGTGCAAAAATTTAGTAGAGGGGTACGTTTGTTAATTTACGATAGTAAAGGGGTAGAAAATGCTATTAACCCTTTCTTTTGACGATTGCAGAGTAAAAAGCCACGAACCAGTCGCCCCTGAATTATTTGATCACAGTCGGAATAAGCCGCCGCCGCCGCCACTGCCCAGCAATGTTGATCGACTGCGGCCCCTGGCTGATTATATAAATAGATTCGGATTCAACGTTGTATACACAGAGAAAACCAGAGCTTCGATCGATACATCGTCGATCATGGATTCTGCGCAGCAATCAGTTTCCCAGAGGTAGGTGTAGAATGTGCGGCCCCTTTCAATACCAATTTCTTGCCGTAATTAGTTCAATTACTATATTCATGGAAGGAATCGCAGGTTAGCAGGCAAGGTCGTGCTGATCACTGGCGGAGCAAGCGGCATAGGCGCCAGCACCGCCGCTCTGTTCGCCCGAAAACGCCGACGTCCAGACCAATCTGGGCCACTCCGTCGCCGAAGAAATCAGCTCCGTCTCCCTTCACCCGGCCGGTCGCATTCGTCTACTGCGACGTCACCAAGGAATCCGACGTCCGGAGCGCGGTGGACAGCGTTGTTTCGGCACACGGGAAGCTCGACATCCTCTTTGTTAAGGGAGACCGGGTCTAACGCCACTTCCCCCATTATCTCTACTACTGTTATTCTGTTCCTAATATTGCTCCCACTACTAGCACTGATTCTGTACCCATCCTGTATAAATTGATCACTTACTCATCAATAAGAATACACAGAGAATTACAGCTCCTACATGGTCTCAGAGCCCAACAGCCTAACGACATATTAATTTTTTTTTCAATCCCTATTCCTCTCGTCTCCTTCCTTTGTCTTCTGCACCATGTCGACTTCTTCCTCCTCCTCTTCTGATACCACAGGCCCTACCCCTGCTTCTACTCCCTCTCTTTCTCCTTTCAATCCTCCCTCGGCCCCTCACATCTCAACAAAACTCACCTCCACAAACTATCTCCTCTGGCAGATGCAGCTTCTTCCACTTCTTATCAGCTTTGATCTTTCGAAATTTTTTGACGGCAGCTATCTGGCACCGACTCGCACTCTCGCTGACGGTCAATCCAATCCTGCCTACCTTGCTTGGCGCCGACTTGACTCACTCGTGTTCTCCTGGATTACTGGCTCCCTCTCCGACTTTGTCCTCTCACGTTTGGTTGGTTGTTCAACGGCTCTTGAGGCCTGGACGCGGCTCGCCTCCACCTACGGCTCCGGCAATCGCCAAACCTTGCGCGGTCTGCGCACGCAGCTCGAGGAGCTCTCTCGTGGTGCTGATTCCTGTGCTCAATATCTGGCTCGTACTCAAGATCTCGCTGACCGTCTTGCTGCCCTGAATAGCCCAATCTCCGACGATGAATTGGTCGATCGCTGCCTTCGTGGCCTTGGCGACGAGTTCCTCCCCTTTGTTCGCACGATTGAAACCAAGATGGAGCCCATATCCTTTGATGATTTTCACGGTCTACTTCTCAATGAAGAACAACGACTCCGTCGTCGTGGCCCTTCCTCTGACAATGGCGCCGCTCAAGCGAACTATAGCCGCTATGGTGGACGCGGCGGCAATCACACATATGGCGGCCATGGGCGTGGTCGTTTTCCAGGCCGCGGTCGTGGATCCAGACCCAGCGGCGGTGGCCGCTCCTCTCACCCTTCTGTTTTGCCTTCTTCTTTTGCAGGACCAGGTTTCGGTGCATGGCTACTTGGGCCAAGGCCCAATCATCACTCCTAGACTCCGCCCAGCGGCCTGCTCCAATGTTATACCTGCCATGGCTATGGCCACCTTGCCAAACACTGTCCAAATCCCTCCCTCACGTCCCGTTTTTCACCCTCGACCAATTATGCATCCTCCTCCCACTCTCAAGATTGGATAATGGATTCCGGGTCTAACTATCACATCACCTCCGATCTCAACAATCTCGCCCTTCACTTCGAATATAATGGGCCCGACGAAGTAACTTTTGGAAATGGTAATTCTCTTCCCATCACTCATTCTGGTTCCTCACTTGCCTCCATTAATCATCACCCTTTTAATCTTACCAATATTCTCCATGTTCCTTCTGCATCTCATAATCTGCTTTCTATCAACTCACTCGTACTAATCCCCTCTCTATCCATTTTGTTAATGATTCTTTCATCATCAAGGACTCCCGCTCCCAGAAAATCCTCCATCAGGGTCGCAGTAAAGATGGATTGTACTCGGTGCCCCTCTCCATTCTCTCTCAAGTGGCTCCACGGGCATTTCATTCCACTCTCTCCCAATGGCATCAACGTCTTGGCCATCCTCACTCTCGTGTTCTGCGTCAAGTCCTTCACCGCCATTCCCTGCCTGTTTCCAATAAACAAGAGGTTCATTTGTGTCATGGTTGTAGTGTTGCCAAAATACACAAGCTCCCCTTTACTCCTTCTGATTTCACCGCCTCTAGTCCTCTTGATTTGATTTGTAGCGATGTTTGGGGCCCTGACCCTGAACTTTCTGCCGATGGTCATCTTTATTATATTTTATTCTACGATCATTTTAGTAAATTCACGTGGATCTTTCCCACTCGTCATCGCTCCAATCTTCTCTCTATATTTATCACATTTCGCACCCATGTGGAAAAATTCTTCGGTCGCCCCATCAAAATTTTCCAAGCAGACTGGGGCGGCGAGTACCAGAAATTAGGCTCTTATCTCAAAGAACATGGCATCCTTCACCGCTCCTCTTGTTCTTACACTCCCGAACAGAATGGTTGCGCCGAACGCAAACATAGACACATTGTCGAAACGGGTTTGGCTCTTCTTCCCCATGCCTCGGTCCCTCTCAAATTCTGGTCATACGCATTCGACACTGCGGCCTTTCTCATAAATCGGATGCCCACCCCTCTCCTCGCTAATCGCTCTCCACTCGAAATTCTCTATTCCCAGCAACCGGATTACTCCAGTCTTCGTATTTTTGGTACACTCTGCTACCCTTGGCTTCGTCCTACTACTCGTCATAAACTTCAACCTCGTTCTGCCCCGTGTGTTTTCCTTGGCTACAGTTCCACACACAAGGGCTATTGGTGTTGCAATCTTGCGACCCACAAAATTCACATCTCTCGACACGTCCTTTTCGATGAAAACTGCTTCCCATTTTCTGACCCCAAATATACTCCGACCACTTCTTCTTCTTTGGTCCACCACACCTCGTCGGGAACCCACTTCACTTCCTCTCCCTGCCGACTTATTCTTCTTTCACCATTCCCAACATCCATCTACCTCGTCCCCTAAACCCAACACCCCTACCCCATCAGTCCAGCCCACAAACAATTCCCTTGACCCTTCTCCCAACCGGCCCATTGCTCCACTTCCTACACCAATCGCCGGTACCCCACCAGTCCAGCCCACAAACGCTTCCCCTGCCCCTTCTCCCAAACTACCCCCAGCCCGGCCCATTGTTCCCCTACCCACGACAACCAGACCTCGTAGTCATCGCCCTCGTCCTCTTGCCTCCGCCGTTCAACCACCAAATTCCCGACCTCCCACTTCTCTCGCCCCACAGCCCCGTTGCCCAGCTTCTCACCCACCGACTCATCCGCCACCGTCCCACCATATGCGAACCAGAGGTAAAACAGGCCACCTAAAGCCCAAAACATTTCTTTCATCCTCACATCCTCTACCCGCCATTCCCAAAACCGCCCGCCAAGCTCTGCAGGATCCTCATTGGCGCGCAGCAATGATCGAAGAATATAATTGTTTCACCCCGGAATGTACCGAGGGCTTAACATGATGATAAATGGGGGCTCCGATCGGGATTTCCTTGTTCGATCTCTTCGGGACGCGAGGAACCTGTGAGGCGGGGGGCGGCCCCCAGGATCTACGCTCCGACGCCCAAGTCAGTACAATATATCAGGTGGTTTGTGGAATGTAGAGGGAGAGTTTAGAGAGAGACCTTGGGGAATCAGTGTGGGAAGAGAAGAGGGGATCCTTTGGTTTGGAGGCATGAGTCTCCTTTTATAGGAGTCTTGGGCTTCTTTTCGTGGGCTTGGGCCCGATAAGATGTGTGGGTGATGGGCTTGGGCCCGTTGATGACGTAGTTGTTTGTCGTATTAGGCGGATTAATACCACACCCAACAATTGCCCCTTTACTTCTTGCATTCTGTAAGAATGGAAGGAGTAAAATAATATCTTAAACCGTATTAATTTGCCTTACTTATGAGACTGGATGATGCATTTGCCCTTTGAGCCTGTCGAGAGGCGTTGTGCTTCTGAGCGTGGTTGATGCGTTTTGCCACCTTGTACGAGTTGCGTGACATTATCGTTGCCTCCTGCTTTGATTTCGATGACTTGAGTTAGAGCTCTCAAATCGTTTGATATTTGCCCCACTAGCCCATTGTTGTTAACTATGTGCTAGGGGGGGTGGCCCCCATGACTTGGGAGCTGTAATTCAAGACATTCCCGGGGGCGGGAGATGTGGGTTTTTTAGACTGATCCGGAGTTCTGTCTTCCAGCTTGTGCGGATGCGTTTCTTATTTTGAGCCAGTCGGAAGGCGTTTAAGCTCTAAGTCTGTCGGGAAGCGTGTCTTCTCTTAGCCTATCGGAAGGCGTTTATGCTTGTCGGAAGGCGTTTCTCCCCTGAGCCTGTCGGAAGGCGTTTCTCCCCTGAGCCTGTCGGAAGGCGTTTCTCCCCTGATCCTGTCGGAAGGAGTTTTATGCCTGTTGGAAGGCGTTCTCCTCTAAGCCTGTCGAATTCCTGCCCCTTGGACATTCCGTGGGCGGGTTATTCTGCTTCGGGGTAGCGTTTTATGAATAACCCGTGTCCCTGGATGCTTTGAAAATTCGGACTCGCTCTGCCTCGGGGTGGCGTGTTATGAGCGAGTTCCCGCCCTTTAGGGCATTCCGCGGGCGGGTTATTCTGCTTCGGGGTAGCGTTTTATGAATCACCCGTGTCCCGGGATGCTTTGACACTCGTTCTCACTCTGCCTCGTGGTGGCGTGTTATGAGCGAGTTCCCGCCCCTCAGGGCATTCCGCGGGCGGGTTATTCTGCTTCGGGGTAGCGTTTTATGAATAACCCATGCCCCGGGATGCTTTGACACTCGGACTCGCTCTGCCTCGGGGTGGCGTGTTATGAGCGAGTTCCCGCCCCTTTGGGCATTCCACGGGCGGGTTATTCTGCTTCGGGGTAGCGTTTTATGAATAACCCGTGTCCCGGGATGCTTTGACACTCGGACTCGCTCTGCCTCGGGGTGGCGTGTTATGAGCGAGTTCCCGCCCCTTAGGGCATTCCGCGGGCGGGTTATTCTGCTTCGGGGTAGCGTTTTATGAATAACCCATGTCCCGGGATGCTTTGACACTCGGACTCGCTCTGCCTCGGGGTGGCGTGTTATGAGCGAGTTCCCGCCCCTTAGGGCATTCCGCGGGCGGGTTATTCTGCTTCGGGGTAGCGTTTTATGAATAACCCGTGTCCCGGGATGCTTTGACATTCGGACTCGCTCTGCCTCGGGGTGGCGTGTTATGAGCGAGTTCCCGCCCCTTAGGGCATTCCGCGGGCGGGTTATTCTACTTCGGGGTAGCGTTTTATGAATAACCCATGTCCCGGGATGCTTTGACACTCGGACTCGCTCTGCCTCGGGGTGGCGTGTTATGAGCGAGTTCCCGCCCCTTAGGGCATTCCGCGGGCGGGTTATTCTGCTTCGTGGTAGCGTTTTATGAATAACCCGTGTCCCGGGATGCTTTGACACTCGGACTCGCTCTGCCTCGGGGTGGCGTGTTATGAGCGAGTTCCCGCCCCTTAGGGCATTCCGCGGGCGGGTTATTCTGCTTCGGGGTAGCGTTTTATGAATAACCCGTTTCCCGGGATGCTTTGACATTCGGACTCGCTCTGCCTCGGGGTGGCGTGTTATGAGCGAGTTCCCGCCCCTTAGGGCATTCCGCGGGCGGGTTATTCTGCTTCGGGGTAGCGTTTTATGAATAACCCGTGTCCCGGGATGCTTTGAGAATTGTTTTCGATGACTCGCCTGTGAAAGTCGGATCAGATTTTGCCTCCGTACCGATGACCCGCCTGTGAGAAGCGGGATCGGGTTTTACCTCCGTACCGATGACCCGCCTGTGAAAAGCGGGATCGGGTTTTACCACCGTGCCGATGTGAGATCGGGCTTTCGTTTCCCGAGGGAAGCATTCCCATGATGGGAGTATCACCCGGAGGCGGAACATTCCCATGATGGGAGCATCGCCCGGAGGCGGGATCATTCCCTCGATGGGAGCATCGCCGCGAGGCGGGACATCCTCATGCTAGTATCTTCATTCGGAGGCGGAATGAATGTATAACTGTGAAAGGTGTCAGTGGCTAGTGCCCAATATTTGTAGAGCAAAATATGAAAACAGTATGTTGATAATATCTTAGCAGTGTTGGAGTGGGACTCTCATGGTATGGAATTGAAATACTTCTTCAAGGAAAATACTTAGCTTTGGGAGTAAGCGAGGCTGCACGGAGTGAAGATACTAATGCGGCGCTGAAAGGGAAAATCATAAGCTTGTCTTCTAGCCCAGTGGTTTAGCGCTTTGCATGATTTTGAGAGTATATGGGTTCGAAACCCACCGCTGGTCTTTTTTATTTCCTTACTGTTGCTGAAGCTTGTTCAAGGCGGAGAAGTTGCTGGTCGCGAAGCGGCGCCTAGGGTGGAAGGCCGGACGCGAGTTGTGGAGGCCAAAATTTGCATTGGGGGTGGGAGAATCAACAAGATTGTTGTGTAGCACATTGGTTGTTGCTTCTCCAAATTGGAGGCGGAGGCGTGACAACGGTTCGAATCCTGTGGGAAGCGTTCCCTCCCCTCTTTTTATTTACAGTGTTGCAAGTCCTCCAATGGGCCATGACTTGGTGGGCTGTCCGACGTGGGCGAACCGACTTGGAGCGCGGGATGTTAGGCCGAATGTGTCAAAGCGGGTCGGCGGCGTTGTGGGCAGGCTCACGCAATTGGATGTGGTGTTGTCGTGTTGGAGGCGAAGCGGGCCGCGTTGCGAAGGTCTTCGTGGGCCTTGAGTTGGAGGCGAAGCGGTTCGATTGGAAGGCCCCGCTCTGGGCTCTGTTTGGCGATGGGAGACTGGACTTTGTACGCGGGCTATGATGTGGTGGAGGCGAAGCGGGCCGCGTTGCGAAGGTCTTGGTGGGCTTGAGTTGGAGGAGCGAGTCCATGTGGCGGAATTTATATGCGAGATGATGAAAGGTAGAAACGGCTCAAGCATTGCTGGGCCGTTGTAATGCCTATGCAGGCGGCAGCTGTATGTGGGCTTTGGTCATATGGGCTGATTGCGAAACGGGCCTCGAGACAGAGGCGGGTCGGTGTTGTGCTGATGCTAGGTTTGAATGCGGGATCCAAGGCTTGATCTGATGGGCTTTGAAGGTGGGTCGAGTTTTTGCACTGGAGCAGCAGCAGCAGACTTTTGGGATTTTTCATCGCCTCTTCTTCTTCTTTTTTTTTTTTAAAGCACGGGCATTCTTTTTTCTCAACTTCCGCTTCAGGATTGGAGGCGTTTCCAGCCTGTACTCCTTGATAACTGCGATGTACCTTCTCCTGACAGAAAGAGAAAGTTGCTCTACGAAAGTGGTCTTGTCTTCTCAACTTTCTCGACCGATGGGATCCCTACTGTAGCGGTCAAATCTGCTTTTTGTTGTCGGCGGAAATTAGGTCGGCGGGGAGAAAACTTTGTACATCTAGGAATTCGCTGGGAGATCCGGTGCTGTTGAACGGCGACGAGTGGCTGTTGGACGGCGACGACATGACAGCGATGGAGGAGATTGAGGCCTTCTTCTTTTTCTCACCGGAGATCCAGTCTACGGCCAGTGACACGGCAAGTCGTGCTTCTCTGATTTTTTCTTCGATGTTCTGTGTCTGAGTTGGTGATGGCGAAAGACATGGAGGGAAGCAATGTCCACGTTGGCAGAATCCAGTCGCAAGGCGGATTGGCGAGAGGGTGAGGTTCGGCTGCTGCTTTCGTCGGTGGGTGAGATTTCCTCACTCCTTCGGAAATCAAACAATAGAATGTCCGAATCAGGGCCCCACGGTGGGCGCCAAATTGTTTCACCCCGGAAAGTACCGAGGGCTTAACATGATGATAAATGGGGGCTCCGATCGGGATTTCCTTGTTCGATCTCTTCGGGACGCGAGGAACCTGTGAGGCGGGGGGCGGCCCCCAGGATCTACGCTCCGACGCCCAAGTCAGTACAATATATCAGGTGGTTTGTGGAATGTAGAGGGAGAGTTTAGAGAGAGACCTTGGGGAATCAGTGTGGGAAGAGAAGAGGGGATCCTTTGGTTTGGAGGCATGAGTCTCCTTTTATAGGAGTCTTGGGCTTCTTTTCGTGGGCTTGGGCCCGATAAGATGTGTGGGTGATGGGCTTGGGCCCGTTGATGACGTAGTTGTTTGTCGTATTAGGCGGATTAATACCACACCCAACAATAATGCCCTGCTCCGAAATCACACCTGGCTCCTGGTCCCCCCTGCAACTGATCAGAATCTCATCTCCTACAAATGGATTTTCCGAATCAAGACTCGGCCCGACGGCTCCATCAAGCGGTACAAAGCCCGCCTTGTCGCTCGCGCCTTTCAGCAGCGTCCCGGCGTCGATTTCGGTGAGACCTACAGTCCAGTTCTCAAGCCCACAACTCTTCGGCTCATCCTATCTCTCGCTGTGTCCCAAAATTGGCCGGTGCGTCAATTAGACATCGCAAATGCATTCCTCCATGGCAGCCTCTCTGAACCTGTCTATATGCAACAACCGCCAGGATTTGTCGATCCAGCTCGCCCGCACCATGTCTGCCATCTCCGGAAGTCACTCTACGGCCTCAAACAAGCGCCACGAGCCTGGTTCCATTGTCTCCGACAAGCTCTCGAGTCCTATGGGTTTCAGGGGGTCCAAAAACGATCCCTCCTTGTTCATTCTCTGCCGCGGAGCAATTCGTCTCTATGTTCTCGTCTACGTGGACGACATTCTGCTCACTGGGAATCAAGGCTCCGCCTTGCATTCACTTCTTCTTTTTTTGCAGGGCCAATTTGCTGTTCGCGATCTCGGCCGTCTCAACTACTTCCTCGGCATTCAAGCACATTGGACCCCCATGGGTCTTCTGCTCACACAACAGAAATACATACAGGCTATTCTTGACCGCGCCAAAATGAGTGATTCCAATTCCATCTCCACCCCTGCTGCCCCAGCCACGAAGGATCCTGATCAGACTCCTTTCAGCGATCCATCTTTATATCGCCAGATCGTAGGCGCTCTTCAATACCTCCAGTTCACTCGGCCCGATATCTCACAAGCAGTCAATTACACCGCCCAGCATATGCACCAACCTTTACAGCATCACTGGTCTGATGTTAAGAGAATTCTCCGATACCTCAACGGTACTTCTACCCATGGACTCTTCATCAGCCACACTTCCCCTTTGCTTCTCACAGGGTACTCTGACGCGGCATGGGCAAACTCCATTTCTGATCGCCGCTCTACCACTGGGTATGCTGTCTACCTCGGGTCCAATCTCATCTCCTGGTCATCTCGCAAGCAGCGCACCGTTGCACGCTCATCAACCGAGGCGGAATACAAGGCCTTAGCCACTGTAGCTGTAGAGATTGTTTGGATTGAATCACTTCTCTCCGAGATCGGCCAGCCATTGCCATCTCCTCCCAAGCTATGGTGTGATAATCTTGGTGCAACATATCTCACCGCCAACCCGGTCTTCCACAATCGCAGCAAACACATGGAAATAGACTTTCACTTCGTCCGCGAAAGGGTAGCTGCTGGTCGTCTCCTGATTCGTTACATCTCTACTGAAGATCAAATTGCTGATCTCCTCACAAAGCCACTACCGCGCCAGCGTTTTCTGCATTTCGGAAACAAGTTGAATGTTCTTCACCATCAACTTGCGAGGGCGTGTTAAGGGAGACCGGGTCTAACGCCACTTCCCCCATTATCTCCACTACTGTTATTTTGTTCTTAATATTGCTCCCACTACTAGCACTGATTATGTACCCATCCTGTATAAATTGATCACTTACTCATCAATAAGAATACACAGACAATTACAGCTCCTACACTCTTCAGCAACGCCGGCATACCAGGTGATAGGCGCAGTCATGAATTTGAATGAGAAGCTGACTTAGACTCTGAAAATTTGGAAAACGGGACAAACGCCTTATCGACTATTACGTTTTCTAAATTTATTACCAAATTTACATGTAATTTTACTCATATCCTCCACTGCAGGTGACGCCGCCGGAAACCGGATTGCGAACTTGGACGGCGAGGATCTGATTAGGGTGTTCAAGGTGAATGTGTTCGCCGCGTTCTTCTGCGCGAAGCACGCCGCCAGGGTGATGGCGCCGGAGAAGAAAGGAGGGGTCATTCTGTTCACGGCGAGCGCGGTGACGGAGACGCACGGCTTCTTCGCCCACGCCTACACTTCTTAGAAGCACGCGCTGGTGGGGCTGATGAAGAATCTGTGTGTGGAGCTGGGACGGGACGGGATTCGGGTGAATTCGATTTCTCCGGCGGGTGTGCCGACGCCGACGGGGATGAAGACCACCGGACTGCACAGAGAGGGTGTTCAGGAGATGAATTCGGAGAAAGCGGCGCTGAAAGGTGTGGTTCTGGATGAGAATGATGTGGCGGAGGCTGCTCTGTATCTTGCGGGTGATGAGGCGAAGTTCGTGAGCGGGGTGAATCTTATGGTGGATGGCGGATTCAGCTTGAGTAGCGCCTAGCTTGACCTTGAAATTTGTTGCAGTAATGGTGGACCATGAGCTCGGTCTTTTATCTTGTAATCCAATGATAATCTCTGTAATGGATTCAGTTTAGCTGGCCTGGTAAGGTGGCTGGCGGCTGTTGTTCTTCCAATAATAAACTGGTTTTTGAATAAAAGGGCTAGTAAAGTTTAGTTGTTTGTAACGACCTTTAAACGTTGGTGAATGTGTCTACTGACAGCGCGAGAGCTGGTGACTTGTCTATGGCGAACTTCTTTCACCAGATGCAGGAGGAAGGAATAAAACCAGACGCCATTACATTCGTTGGTTTCTTGGCCGACTGTAGAGATGCTGTGGATTGGCAGATGAAGGAGTTGCATACTTCAACTCCATATCTGATAAGTACATAGTTCATCTCACCATTGAACCCTACGGAGTTTTGGTTGACGTACTTGGGCGAGCTGGCAGAATAGCTGAAGCAGAGGAACTGGTGTAGAGCATGCAAATGGCGCCCGGTCATTTCGTGCTAAGGGGTATGTTTGGTGCCTGCAGAGTCCATGGGAAACTGGAGGCCGCAGAAAGAGCAGAAAAGCAACTTTTGGAGCTTGATCCGGACAATGGTGGGATCTATATACTTTTGTCGAACATATACAAGTTGATCAAGAGGTGGTACGATGCTAAAGAGGGATGAAGAAGCCCCCAGGATGCAGTCTGATAGAGATTGATGGTCCTGTGCATGAGTTTGTGAGGAGCGATTCGCCCCACCAAATGTCTGAGCAGATCTACGTGATGGTGGAGGACATGAAAGGGGAACTGAAGAAATGGAAACTTAAAAACCAGCCAGTTCTGCAATTCTGGCACAATAGTGGATGCAGGATAAGAGCACAATCTAACCAAATGGCAGCTTAAAAAGAAATACGATCTCCATTCCCCTGAATGTTGAGCTTAATCCTAGCATATGATCTGAAGAACTTATTGGGCAGTAAGGTAAGGACAGAATGAAAAGTAGCAAACAGTAAATGCAACCATGAAATGGTACAAAGTGCCAATCTTTTGACCTCTCGAGGCTGGTGACAAAGTTCTTACCATAGCAATGAAAAACTATCAGCACCTTGATAAACATAAGGGGGCTCTTAATTATCTCCAACAACTTACAAAGATACTGCAAACATGGCTTCATAATCAGAAAAATCAGGGTAATCGAGTTCAAGCTCTAACATGACTGAAACATTTGGAAGCAATTCAACATTTCGTATTGAGCTACATGATAGTAACCTTTCTACAGATGCCTTGAATCCAACTTTCAACTTCTGTCTATAGCACTGCTCTCACGATCAGTTTGAGAATCATAAATAAGATATACTGAGGAAAAGGCACCCTCCCAGGCTATGATATAATATTAATTGACACCGGTAAATAATCACGTTGAAGAAACAAAAACTGATTACTGCCCAGTTGGGTGTATCTGATAAGAGTCTTCAAACAATCATACTTCTAAACAAGCTCAAGGAATACAAAACCTACCAAGTTCTCTCATCCAAGTCTTACCAGACAAAGCCTTCCTCCCTACTTATCCGCATCGTCCTCTTTTCTCTCGATAAGAAGCACATTCTCTGCATCCGGCTCCCTATTGTCTTTCGGTTTTGCAACAGGCTCGACACGTGCATTTGTCACAGACTGCTGGTAAAGAACACCTCCACACAGCGTGAAGAGGAGGCAAAGCAATCCAAATGGAGTGGCGTGCTTATCCCATATCATCACATTGATCACAACAGTCAGAAACTTGTTAACCACGCCAGTCACAGTAAATGCAGTAGCAGAGATCGCCTTCCTGGCCGCGAACCCAAAGAAACTGATGAGCACACCAAACACACAAGACAATGCCACTGCAGAGAAAGCATCAATCCTGAACCAATCCCCACCATTTGAACCGAGAGCACCAAACACTTCTCTGTACTCCCCAGTTAGAACCCAAAACACAGGCGATATGAGCAAGGACAGCAGATTGTTGTACAACACCAGACCCCAAGTGTTCAATCCAATGCTCGACACGATGTGCTTGATGTAAACCATTTCAGATACGATTGTCACCAAATAAGCAAGTGCCCATGAATATGCAGTGAGGGTAAAAGCCGAATCAGTAGCCACATAACCCACAGCACCTCCCAAAATGATGAACAGGGACAAGAAAGTGAGCCTAGATGGGATCGGCTGTTTCCTGAACAAAGTGTCGGCTATAGCAACAAGAAGTGGGGTTAAAGATCTGAACACAATGAAGGTGTCCACATTGGCATGGCGTAGCAGATTGGTATTGGTGAAGATTGCGAGGTAGAAAACAAAGGCAGCTGGGAGGAACTTCTTTGCAGTTTCCAAATTGAAGGCGTCGTGATACAAGAACCCTAATTTGCCCATAACCCAGACGCCAAGCGCCGAGGTCAAGTACTGCAGAGCTGTCAGAAGCCCTGGGTAGTTGAATTTAGTGATGGCGAACTTGTTAATCACGGCGAGCAAGCTGGAACAGAGAGCGTAGCCCACCACCACGCTGCTCGTGGCGAGCTGTTTCGTTGGATCAGGTCGAATCGCAGACATCTTTTTTTTTTTTCCACCCAGAATGGTGGGATTCTCACTTACCCTTTTCCTTTCCTGGGAAATCAAGCAAATCCCCTTGAAAGAGAAATTCGAAAAGAAGAACCAGTAGTAGACTAATTACCCAGACAGTGACGAACGAGGACACGAACAGAGTAAGGTTACCAACAGAGTCTGACGAGGAATTGAAATGGAACTGGGCAGCAGCTTCATCGACCAAAACCCAGATTCAGAATGCTCCAATCGGTCTCCAGGGACGGGATTCACAGATAAATGACCAGTGGAGCGGGCAAGTGATTTGGGTGGTATCCGAGAACAAGATCCCGAATCGGGGGAAAACAGGGGAAGAAGAGTCGAATCAGCGACCGGGAATAAATGGAGGGAGGAAATGAAGGATTGATTTTGGGGGAGTTGATTGGCTGATGGAGCTGAGATTACTGCGTCGAAGAAGAAAAAGAGTAAATGCGGACAAGGGAGAATTTCGGAGGAGACGAACAACGAGAAAGCCTCACCCGTCAAAAACAGGGGACGGTTCGATTAGTATATAACCCCATTAGAAAACTAGAAGAGGAGAAGCTTCGGAGAAGTGGCTATGGCGGATCAAACGATGTCGTTTGCCTCTTAAAATGATGGCAGTGGACATTTCCATGGGGGAAAGTCGGAAAGGGAAGTTTTTGACGGGAAGCGCACAGAGTAGTGCAAACGTCAAGCTTGCCAGTTGCAGCGGATATTTTTTTTTTGACAATAATAACGACTTTTATTCCACAATCGATAGAAAACTCGCGAAACGAGCGAGGACAATTACAGCAGATCAGAAAATAAATCAAGAATATTGATCCAGTCCTCGGGCAATGTAGATCGAGCCTTCGAGCGTGCAACCCAATCCGCTCTGACATTTAAAGCCCTTGGAACCTCTTTGACCTTAATGATCGGGTTCGCCCTAAGAATATTGACCATAGAGTTAATCCAGGCAGCGCATCTCCAGGGCCAACGAGAATGGTTATCTTTCAGAGCATTCACCAACATCTGACAATCCGATTGAACTGTACATTCTGATCCATATTCTTGTGCTAATTTTAGACCTTCCAGAAGAGCTTTCGCTTCCGTTTCTATCGGGGTGGAACAAAGAAGTGTCTCAGCTCGTCCATCACACACTTGTCCATGGTGGTTAACAACAACAACACCATAAGCCGCCGTCTGGGAGTCGCTTAAGAACGACCCATCACAGTGAATCATCAACGAGTGATTACTTGGCGGGGGATTCGTAGTATGCTGGGTTCCCCTGAGCTGAGTAGGAGAGGTGAGACTGGGAGGTGGGGACCTCGGACAGGAAGTCCATTCCGTAAAATCCCTATAGGCTTGTGTGCAGACATTTGGGGGCCAGGGAACTCGATTCTTGAAAGTACGCTCATTCCTTGCCTTCCAAATATTCCAGCACAGGAAGACGATGTGAGTCAGTGATTCTTGGGATATCGAATCCTTCAGAGCACAGACCCAATCAAAAAACGAGGTATTCAGGGGAGGGAGAGGAAGGGTAGGGAAGATAGCATTCCAGGAGTCACTAGCATGCTGACAATAGAAGAGGCAGTGGATAATGGATTCATGTGGGTTTTGACAAACTTCACAAGTCTGATTTGGGGCACATTTCCGGTGAAAAAGCCTCTCTTTAGTTGCCAACCCGTTTCTGGAGCACCTCCAGATGAAGAACTTAAGCTTTGGAGGGAGGTTTAGCCCCCAGATCCATTTCCAACTCTCTGCATTCCCTGACTGTTGAAAGTTTGTGTTTGCTTTGTGAACCGCATGATAAGCAGTCCTCACCGAGAAACTTCCATCCTTAGTGAGACTCCATGCCCAAAAGTCATCAGATCCTTCTTCCCCAATCGGGACTCGAAGGATAGCCTCCATCTCCTCCATAGAGACATGGCCTTGCAAAAGCTCGGCGTTCCAGCTCCTGTCACCCTGGTTGATCCATTCGTTAACCCTTATGTTCTGTTGGGGGCCACTACTTATGCCGAAGTTTTGCAGAGTAGGGATCCACGGGTCCAGCCCAATCCATGTATCCTTTCCCGACCCAATGACCTTAATGGCTCCCATATTGATAACTTTCTTTGCTTCCCAGAGACTGGCCCAGATCCAAGAAGATCTGCTTCCCTTTTTTGCATGGAGGAAATCCCCTCTCGGGTAATAGAGGCCCTTAAGAAGACGACACCAGAGGGCGTCGGGGGAATTTAAGAGCCTCCATGCTTGCTTACCCAAAAGGGCCAAGTTAAAATCTTTGAAGCTCCTAAATCCCAATCCCCCTTCCGCTTTAGGTGCACACAGTATCTCCTTCCTACACCAATGAAGACTACTCTTCTGCATAGAGCCTGACCAGAAGAAGTTGGTGAGAAGAGAGTCCATCTTCTTGGTAAGGGAAACCGGAAGGTGGAACAGGTACATGATGTAAGACGGGATAGCTTGAATGACGGCTTTGATCAAGATTTCTTTCCCTCCATGTGAGAGCAGGAGACTTTTCCAGGCTTCTCCCATCTTCTCCATTCTTTGAATGAGGAATTGAAATGTCTCCTTCTTTGAGTTACCCCACTCCGTTGGAACTCCCAAATACTTTGAATGGCAATTCGAGGAGGAGAAACCAATGTGGTCAGTAATACTGGTTTTGTCTTCACTGGGGACATTCGCGCTAAAAAAGACTGAGGACTTATTGATATGGGGTTTCCCGTTAATGCATGGTTATCTCACTGTTCTAAGTCATGGCTAAAAAATGATCAAATGAAAGAGATTGCAAAGAGAATTAGGGTTTTCTTAAATTAGTGACGACCGTAGGATGGCAAAAATATCCCTAAATTCGACCTAATTGGGTAGTGTTGGGGGTATCACTAAGGTTTCCCGTTAATGCATGGTTATCTCACTGTTCTAAGTCATGGCTAAAAAATGATCAAATGAAAGAGATTGCAAAGAGAATTAGGGTTTTCTTAAATTAGTGACGACCGTAGGATGGCAAAAATATCCCTAAATTCGACCTAATTGGGTAGTGTTGGGGGTATCACTAAGGTTTCCCGTTAATGCATGGTTATCTCACTGTTCTAAGTCATGGCTAAAAAATGATCAAATGAAAGAGATTGCAAAGAGAAATTAGGGTTTTCTTAAATTAGTGACGACCGTAGGATGACAAAAATATCCCTAAATTCGACCTAATTGGGTAGTGTTGGGGGTATCACTAAAGGAGCCCAAAGAAGGGCCCAAGAGAAAGCCCATCCAGCTGAAAGTAGCCCAAGGCAATGGGCCAGGAGAAGAAGCCTACAAAGCCCATTGGGCAACATAGGCATGGAGATCAAGGCACTAGGGGCCAAAGAGGTCCAAGCTGGCAAGTGGTCCCTCACCCGTGGGCGCCTGCCAACTATCAGAAGCCTGACAGGGTGGTTGGGGCTTCTGACGGGAATGAAGGTACAAAGCATTTAACGAGATGGTGACGTGGAGGAGATCCATCTCGAATTTGGTGAGTATAAATAGAGGCAGTTGATAGCATTTACGGAGGGTGGATTCTCTCACTAAAACTCTAAGCTAAAAGCACTTCGCTCTCTAAAATACTGACTTGATCGTCGGAGGGCTAACAGGCCACGGCGCCCCCCTCTGTGTGAGTGTGTGTAGGCAGGCGCCAGACAAGGAAGGATGTGGGCACGCTAGCGAGGCGTCGAGGCACAAATAATTGGCGCGCCAGGAAGGGGAATATAACCAAGAATCATGAGCGAGGAGGCGCCTATGAGTGAAGAGAGAGAGGAAATTACGAAAGACCAATTCGAGGGGATGAGAGGGCTGACGCCCGAGATGGACGGGGGCGAAGAGAGCGATGGTATGTTCGGAGGGTCGGAAGGCGCCTCGGCCACCAAAAGGGAGCTGTTTAGGATCATTGAGGATCAGGATGAGGCGATCGAGGCGCTTCGACGGGAGGTTGAGGCCATGAAGAGGGGAGAAGGGATGACGCCCAGCCCGAACTCGAAGAAAAGGGAAAGGGTGGCGGAGACGGAAAGCGAGTCCGGGCACTTAAGGCGCCCAGGCCTATGTCGCCCACTTGACCGCGGCGGCTCGAACACCAGTGGATGGAACGGGGGAATACTGGGGCGCCTATCGCGCCACTGCTCCGTGAGGCAGCCCCTGGCGCGGAATATACTGATGGAGCCCACAGGAACGAACATTCCCCCACTCCCGACTTATGACGGGACAGCGGACCCGGATGATCACTTGAATGGATACTTCACCAAAATGCAGCTTTACAACAGTTCATATGCTACCCTGTGCAAAGTGTTCCCGTCGACCTTCGCGGGTGTGGTCCTTGACTGGTACCACCAAATCGAAGAGGGGCGCATTGACTGCTTTGAGCAGTTTGCGACGATGTTTTTGGCAAAGTTCGCTAGCAGGAAGCGCCGCTCCCTGACCATAGGCGCCCTATTCAAGGTCAAACAAAGAGAGGGGGAAGCGCTGAGAGAGTTTTACGAAAGATGGCTCTCGGTAGCCTTGGCGGTAAAGGACGCGGACGCCCAGCCGTCAGTATTGGGAGTGTGCTTGAACGAATGTACCACCAGCGAGGAGTTGTGCAGGGGGCTGGCAAAGAGGGACGTGGTATCCACGGAGGACTTGGATCACCGAGTGCAGAAGGTGATCATGCTCGAAGAAACTTTGGCGGCCAGAAGGGAAGATAGGCGGAAGACGAGGGGAGAAGAAGTTGAGATGACAAGGAGACCGCATCCCCCGGGTGGACCCGGATATGCACCCGTAAATCACTTCCAGCCGAGAAGAATTGATACCGGGCTCCCGGCGCCAAGGGGGGCGGGGACCTTCGCAGAATACAATGACACGCTGAAGAATGTACTCCATCACGTCAAGGAGAAAGGATATCACATCTGGTGGCCGGGCCCCATGAGAGGACAGCCCAACGAACGAAACTTGGACCGATATTGCGATTTCCACCGGGAGGTGGGGCATCACACGGCCGACTGTTACCAATT